GTTACATAACTATAGTACTTAGTGGGATTAAATTACAATACCCGTAGGTTTGACACTCTAACTTTTTTACTATATTAAAAAACTCGACACCATACACTTGCGGTATAATTCACGTTGTATAAAATGCGTGACAACAAACAAATAATAGCATTAAACACATGATAATTAATTAACAAGTATTAAAATGGCATGAACATCATGAAATTAAACATATAAAAAAACCTTAAGCTACATCATCAATTATAATAATAAAAATATTTAGCCACTCATAATATTAAATTTAAAAACGCAAAAGTGAAAAAATATCACCAAAAATTGACGAAACGTGAAAATTTCTGGCTAAAATTGAAGCTACCTCCTTTTCTTTTTCCAATCCACTATCCGTGAATGTATGTAATATTAATTCAACAACTTTCCGCTCTTCCATCTTTTGCCTGTGTCTACGTGTATATATGAACGAAACCTTCAGCCCCCCCTTTTCCTTTCCGAGCCGTAATTCTTTACTTTTTCTTCTTCTCCTCTTTCTTTTATCTTTCTTTCCTCTTCCTCTTCCTCTTCCTCTTCCTCTTTCCTCATGTGGGTGTGTGTATATTTATATATCCTTCACCAAAATTAGCTACCGTTTGCTCTTTTTTTTTTATTCTCTCAATTGGCTGCCGTAAAACTATTTTTTCTCCTCAGTCTGCTGACTTCTCCCCCTTTTTCTAGGTATATATTATTTACATATTGCAGCCCCTGTTTAGTCCAATTGTAAAAACCCAACTTGAGGCCCAATAAATTCAAATACCAAATAAAATTAATTCTTCTTTCCAAGTCTTCAATTCTTTTGTGTACTGCAAGTTGATCCTTAAAATAAATTTCTTTGTACCGCCCATGCTAATTTAATCCTCGCACTTTGGATTTTTTCATTTTTCAACTATTTTGCATTCTTTTCTTCAATTCTTCGTTAAACATAATTTTTTACCTACAAAATACAATTTAACAAAAAATAGGTAGAATTTAATTTAAATGACAATAAAATATCATGATTTAGCACCACGAATAAGTATAAAAACTACACTTATCAATTCACATCTCTAATAAATGTTTATGTCTCATATGAAAACATGATAGAAGCTTTTAAGTTCCATGATGACATGCTACAAAGGGGTTTTGTGCTTGCTCATACTACAAAGGTGTTTTGTGCTTGTTGAGAAATTCTAGCCGACCAGTTTGAGTTGCTATACCTTCTAGAAATGGAAAGATTGTGGCTTCTAAAATGTGGAAAATCCTTTGTATACATAGGTCCCAACCTTTAGCTTGGAGCTTTTTAGCTTCTGATCTTTATCTGGAAAAAAAATTATTGTATTTGGTTGTATTATTTAGTAGTGCTTACTATCATTCGGTATTTGTTTTTGCAATTTTAGCTTCTTTGAGGTTTCTACGGAGCCTATAAGTTGTTTTTTAATCTTTATACATATGCATGTAATGGGCTATCTTTGTTGTGTGTTCTATTTTTTCGGGTTGAATTCTTTTTCTCTCCTTTTTATGTTTATTTTTGTTGGGTTAGCTAATAGAAAATATAGTTGCTCAATATTCAAAATTTTTAGCCTCTCATCTGAATTGATCATGTTTTTCTCAAATAGGTGATAGAATTATTGTTCATGATTTAGATTTTTTAGAGGAATAGCTATTTTTGAAAAATGAAAAGTAAAAAAAGTTAGCACCTGTTCCATACTGACGTCTTCCTTGTTTCTTTTTTCTCATTGGTGTTCTTTTTCTCTTTTCTAAAATATCTATTATTTTATAATCTTGTTTCATGTTGGTTTTGAAGGACATCTAATAAAAGGTCACTGTGGTGCTTTAATAACCAAGGTGGGGAGTAAATGAACTAAAACCATCAGCTCTTGAAATTTATTATTGAGAATACTTCACTTTACTAATTTTCGGATTAAATAAATAAAGGTTTGCGTTGAATATTTTTTTCTCTATGAGTTGAGGATTATGTGAAACAAAGACCTTGTTTCTCTTTCTCTATATTCAAATTTCTGCTCAAAGTACTCAGTGGATGAATTGGTAGAATACATTATATTGGGTTCAAAATCTTACACCTTCATTGGTTATATTTTTTTCCCTTTTGGATGAGATATAAATTTTAGCCTCTTGTATCAGAATTTATGTTTTTTTTTTCTCTTCACATTACAGCTCTTACCATCCAGTCAAATTGCAATTAGTGCTAACACCTACTTGTTTCTATTGTAGTCAAATCCACTTTTGGAGGCACTTGACAATCCAAAAACGGTTAGATATGGTACTTCAAGGTATTGTCTATGACTTTTTCTATCATAAATTCTTTATGTTATCGAGGAAATGCTAACCGTTTATGTTCTCTCATAAAGTGAAAAGCTATTAAGTTTTACTATTTCAACTTATTATTTGACTCCTTTTGAATTACAAGCTATCGTCTTCATCAGAATTTGTTGTCTTACCTTCATTATATTTGTGCTACTTCATTTGGCTTTTGTGTGAACATTTTAATTATTGGTGTACTTAATCTATGTGCAGTTTGAAACTTGTAAGGGCAAGTGTATAGCATATTGCAGTTTAGATTGGCATATCCAGTGCACATTCTGAGCTTTTTGTGGTGCGAAGACTTTGCTGAAGTCCAAATTTTATTCTTTTTTGTCTAATCTATTCTTGATGCTGTTGTAGCATATTTGATGCGAACTTATGCAGTAATAGTAGCAACGGAACCCACAACAAATTAGAACTAACCCAAGAAAGTCAATAATCAACGTTTGAAAAGCTCGACCCAATAAATTATTGAACCAAAGAACCAAAATAATTGCTAACAATATCTTGACCCCATGATCACAAAAATTATGAACCTTACTTAAATTGTAGAATACCACAATAATTTAATTTTTGATAAGTTCAAAATTAATTCAATGAAGAATGAGAAGACATCAATATTCCTTGCAATAATATCTCTCAAATTTTAAGTTTTACAATGAATGTAATGAGTCCTATTTATATGAAACCCATAAAACCTACTTGAAAACGGAATTAAGCTTTAAAACTAACAAAAGATATAATAAAATAAAGTTTTCACTAAAATAGAAGATTACGAGAAAATTGGAAAATTTGTGTCCAGAATCGCACTATGCGGCAGCATAAGCTTCCTGCATGCGGTCGCATAGGCCAATTGTTAGCCTTCAATTTTAGTTCGGTATAGAAGCATGCAGTCGTATGCCTAGGGTTACTTTTTCCAACTTTTTTCATTCGCTGTTTGGACCAAGTTGATCCATCTTGTTTTTTCTTTCAAGCTCAACATGAAACTTGTCCATTTGCTTATTGTGATCAATGTTTCGTCCACCGTAACTTGAGCAAGCAATCTCATAGCTTCCTTGACCTTCTTTGCCTATGAATTCGTCATTGGTCCTTTTTCCACGATCAACGGATCCTCGCCCGGACTTGCTCTCGTATAATAAATCCCATCATCACCTCCCTTTTCGAAAGGATTCTACCTCGAATCTGTACCTACATTAAAGAGAGAAAGGTCAGAGACAATTAAAAGTAGTCAAAACATTATACTC